CCCCATATGTCACTAGTATTTATCGAATTGACAAAACGTTTCCAATAAATGGTCACGGATGAAATTTCAAACGTGGATAGGGAACTCCTGGTTTGAAGTTTCAAGTCTTGAAGTTTCTCAATTAGAGACGAGATTTTTGCAACTTGATAAATCAATACCAACTGGGCTGTACTTTGGGCTCACCAGCCAAAATCACATTCAATTAGATCATATTTTTTTCGTTTCGTGTTCACGTTAGATGTAAAGGACGGTGAAGTAAACCTTTCACTATTAATTGGATAAAAGATAATTTATTTGAGCATTTATCTGACTTTTATATAGAATATACTTTTCACTCGAGAAAAGGCGACTTCAAATCATTCTAGAGACACAAAGGAAGCTACTTACATGAGGTAGGAGATGGAATACGGCGTCACCCGCCATACACGCGGCCCCCAACGCTATGAGAACTGTGATCACGTGATCACGATAGCTACCTAGAGCTGGGCATATAACGGCTGACGACAGTACAGCGCAGACAAAAACTATTGTTTGCGCAGCACTTCCCTGCCAAATAGCTGTGAACAGCGATAAAAACAAAGTGATTAGCGAAAATTAGTTAACTAATATCATGGATGACAAATTATTCCTTAATTTTTGCACGAAATTTCAGCCTTAATTTATAATTTTAAAACATAAGCAAGCGAATGTTTAAGTCAATAGCCGACGTTTCGGCGACGTCAAGATTTGATTTCTATACTTTTACATTAATTTATTCACTTTGCCTTGAGAATGGTATCACGATGACACCATATCGGCTTGTTTATGTTTTAAAAAGTCGTTATTGATCAAGAATTTATAATTTTACATGTGAAATTACAAAATTGCAAGGGCAACGTTTGGCGCGAAATTTCTCGATACAATAACCAAGTAAAAAACCCAGGATTGTAAGCGCAATTTGACACCCATGATATAAGAAGTAATCAAATGGTGTATTTATTCGCGTTTTGACAAAATTCTAATTATTTCCCTCGCCAAAACGCGCGCGAAATGATTTCCTAATTTCACTCGTCTTCACTTGAATGTCATGGAAGACAAATTATTCCTTAATTTTGGCGCGAAATTTCATACTAATAAATTTCATACTAATTCGCATACTAATTACGATTTTAAAGTCCCAAGAGAGTTAAACCAAGCTAATCAGATGACGATATTTAAGACACGTGACATTGGTTTATTCGCCTGGACAGTTTTCGTCATTGCGCGGTCGAATCAACATGGCGTGAAAAAATTCGGAAACGAATTATGATTTGTCTTTGAGTAATTACAGCTCGGGAAAGCTTGGACGGAAAGCTTGCGGAAAGAGAACAATCTTCGCGCAGTGTTTTCGTTCTAGTGTTCGGTTTCTTAATTACAAATGTAAAGGTAGAACATTTAACAATGGTATTCTTTTGACATGCGTATCTTAAGTTTGATTTTCAGTACCTCGAATTTCATCCACTTAATTATCCTTGGTTGAATAAAATAGTAAAAGATGAACGGATTACTTTCGTTTGCGAAAAATTACACCATAACATTTAGCGGTCGTTTTAAGAACGTAGCTTTAGACCACAGTGCATTCGTCGTATTATACCTTAGCAACCTGAAAGGCATACGATATTGAAGACAAAGAGTTCTAGCCATATTTAAATTTTCTTGCATACTCCTCAAATATTGAATAAACATGGGGTTGAAAATTGAAGCCAAACTGGTACCGACGTTTGCCAAAAAAAGAACATATTTGGTCGATCTGAATTTTCTTCGAGAAGAAATTAACAAAACGCTACCTTTAATTAAATAAGAAAATGATCTTTTAAAGCCTTCACTCTGGTGTTGTAAACTAATAAAAAAATAATAAATAAAATAATATTATTCTCGTAGTCTTTTGTGCAAAACGTATCAGACCATAACCATGGAAGATGCTGTTAGTTGTACAATACTTCATTGAAAACATTGATCTCAAAAACGCAATGATCTTGAGAGGCGCTGACAGCGAGGTTTCATATACTGACGGCTAAATCTTCAGCACTGGTTGAAAAAAAAACACTACAAAAATCAATGTACTTTAGGGCAACAGAATCCGCCTATTAGTAATAATTTACAAACAATATATTTTAAATATCGCTAAATATGACTTGTGATATTGCAAAATTCAAAATTACCTACTCTTCCGAGGTTTTAGTCTCGTCAGACTTAAGACCCTGTTAGAACTTGATGTTTTACAAAGTTGTAACTTGACCGGGCTCTTAGTTTTTTGATAGAGCACATTTGAATTTCCAAGCTGTTGCGTCGCGTGACATTAAACTGGTTGTTGCGTAGATCAAAAGATAACTTTCGTTTAAGTTTTCGCTAAATGAACAGTTCTTGCATTAGAAGGAGTATTAATTTTAATGTGTGGGCGCTCTAGAATGATAACGTTTTGTTTTAATAGCAAAACTCTATGACAGAGATGTTTCGATTTTGTTAGTTTAGGCCGCCATATTGGCCCTCCTCTCAGAGACGCCAATATGGCGTACCACTGTAAATTAGATTGAAACATTTCTCTGCACAGACCTACGCCTTGACGAAATGCTTATATAACAATCATTTATCACATCACCGATTCTTGACTTAATCTACTGTACGGTTATGACTTTTATTTTTTGATGGCATGGCAGTGAAATCTACTGAGGAATATACGAGCACTAGATTCTACTTACTTATTACTTACCTCTGATTATGGTCATAGCGCCACGGCGCTTTCAGAAGCGCGGCTTTGCCCGGCGAAATCAGGCCTTGCTTCGAGTGTTTCGATCGATTCAACACAACACTTACAAAACAAAATCCGTTAATATGAAGGATGGTGTCTTCGTCATCGTGAACTCTGAAGAAATAAAATAACAGCGCGACAAATCTAGTCAGCGGTCTACAAGACTTCAAGTGGCTCAAACCACCAGTCCCCCAGACAGGTGAAGTATTGTCCATTACAAAAACACAGCAAAGTCCAGTTATCAAACACTAATGATGGAACCTTAGACAAACGTTTCTATCAATACTAGAAATTGAAACGTAGCGAAAAAACCCCCACTTAGCTCAGGCAGTTTTATTTCAGAAACTAAAACGACCCAACGAACACAACACTGGCAGGGTCAGCAAGCTCCATTTTTGGGATCATATCCTTGATTCATGATCTAATGTTCTGTTTGTGATATGGATTTTGATGAAATGACAAGAATTAGCGAATAAATAGACAGGCGCAATAGTTTACACAGTTAAATTATAACCTGAAGCAAACGGGTTTAGGGTAATTTCTAAGCGGAAAGAATTAGGGGTAGAAGTAAAAGGTGGTTTGAAGATTCTTTGAGGAAGAATTTAAGAGTTTCAGTTATTTTTTTTAACCATGTGTAACCATTTTTTCGTGGAATAAACTGATCCATGACTGGTAGACACATTCAATGTGCATTTGACACCAACGAAGTGTTTAGCTGATTATAGTTACAAAAATGTACGTAAAAAATAAAACTTTTACCGTGTGTCTTCAGCTGTTTGTACAGTAGAGCGAAAATGTTTGTATTTATGGTGAATAGTAAGAGACGTTTTTCTATTTTTCTGTGATTTATTTAAATATTAGAAGAAAAGAAAACAATATCTGAGGTAATATGTGCTGTTTGAAATAAACGTCATGCTTAATGCTTAACCTCTCTAATTGCGTCTATACATACTAGCTTCCCTCTGTAGAAAAGAACCGATACTTACATTTATAGCAAGCTGTGTTTTTCAGCGGTAACCTTTTTCTCTTGTCAACAGGCCGAGGATAATACATATGTGAAAGACATTGAATTGTTCCCTTACGCGTCAAGACTGACACATTTGCAACCGTGTGAACTTCAAATGGTTTGTTTCAACTTGAATTGCCATTATGTAACCATGGCAATACTAGCAAACAGTTAGCGCGAGAAGGCGTGAGGTGATATTGCCCGCGCGCAGGTTCAGTCGCGGGGAGGGAAGGGAAGGGGACATTTGTCACGCCAGAGCCCGCGCGTGTTCGATTAGCGATGACCAAACGTGCCACGTTCCGGTAAAAATCAACAACCGGAACCACAAAATACTAGATTCGTGTTCTGTGGTAAAAATGAGGAGTGAGTTGCAGAGAAAGATACATTGAGGCAAACGATTTTACTGAGTTAATCCGAGAGATGTATTCCTGTAAGAAAACGCACAGTTACGTTAGTAATTTGTCGAACGTGTTCACGTCCGCGGCAAGGAATCGAAAGACAATGTGGAAACATGAACGAAACGACACTGCCTGGCTTCTAGCAAAGCCTCATCCCGGCTAAAACTCCTACATAAAACCCATAGCTAGTATTTTCAGTTTTCAGTGAATAAACTTTTCAGAATTCAAATTTTACGGAGATTGTTCAAGGTCGGGTATCTTTACCAAGATTGCATAAATTTCCGACGTGATTGTGTACCCGAAAAGATGGCCGGCACGAACGATATGAAACTGTAAATTTAGTTTACGAAATGATAACCTAAGGCTGGCGTAAAGTTGTAGGTGACAAACCTCTTTGCTACATTTTACAGGTTAACTCAAACATTACGCTACCTGTTTGGTTGGTTGGTTGCTTGGTTAGGTTGTTGCCATTCCTTGCCAGTTCCTGTTCAGTTACGATAGTTAACGTTGACCCATTTTTAACGAATTTAGAAGTTGAATGACACAAGAAAACATGACGATGACACGAGAATTGTTAAATGAACATTTAGATTATTATTAACTAAACACAACTTGACAATGTGTCATTACAGTCTACGAGAGGCCGGATTTATAATTACTTACCGTACGGAGCCGTGTGTACTGCCCTGATATTCTGCGATATCAAGTCACTGACCTGATATGGTTACGGTATCATGCTCACTTGGCCGAATTCGGGCACGGTAAATATCTAATCGTACCTTTGTTCGGCGGCGTATCAAGTTCGTTTGATCTCGCCATGGGTATTTTGGCTTCACTACTTCTCGCCAAAATACGAACCATACCTCGACCAATTCACAATCACCTGATATGCCACCGATGCGTACAAAAAAAAG